TCTCTTCTCCCAAGTAACAAGTGATAGGACAAAAGGAAACAGCCTCAAGCTGTGCCAGGGGAGGTTTAGATTGGATATTACAAAAAATTTCTTCACTAAAAGGGTTGTCAATCATTGGAACAGGCTGCCCAGGGCAGTGGTGGAATTATCATCCCTGGAAGTATTTAAAAGATGTGTAGAGGTGGTATTTAGGGACATGGTTTAGTGATGGACTTGGCAATGTTAGGTTAATGGTTAGACTCAGTGATCTAAAAGGTTTTTCCCAACCTAAATGAGTCTATAATTCTGTGAAAACCATAAAAATAGAGATTTCCATTTATACAGTCAAGTAATACTTATCAATTTTGTTGCAGGTTTACCAAACTGATTTATGAAGCTTGGTTGTACATTTTTGCATGCATTTCCATAATCAAGATAATACAACTCTTTTTCTAAGAGCTTGCATTTTAAGACATGATACACCAGCTGACTACCATTTGTTTCAGTCTTTAATCTTTGAATTTTAATGTTATGCTACAAATGTACTTTATATATATAATACAAATTTTATTTTTTTTAATTGCTTGGCAATGCAACCAGGGTCCTGTGGCTTTCCACTGCCTCAAACTATGAAGGCTTCAGTTCTATCTCAGTCGGAAATCAGGTGAAGTAGAGAGAAGGCAGGTGGTTAGCCCTGGGATGCATTCATTAATCACTTACAGTCATGTTATGAAAACAGAATTATAGAATCACAAGGTAGTTGCGTTTGGACAGGACCACTAGAGATTGTGTAGTCCAACCCCACTGCTCAAAGAAGCATCCACTACAGCAAGTTTCTCAGAACTGTGTTTGATTGGGGTTTGACTGTCTCCAAGGATGGAGGCTTCACAACCTCTCTACGCAATCTGATCCAGTGACTGTCACAGTAGATAAGTTATGTCTTATGTTTAAATGGAATTTCCTGTGATTCTGACCACTGTCTCTTGCACTGTCATTGGGCACCAGTGAGAAAAATCTGGCTTCATCTTTGTAATTCCCATCGGGCATTCTGAGCAAAGGGATAGGATCACCTCTTTTGGCATGTTGGAGACACTCTTCCTGATGCAGCCGAGGGTGGTGGTGGCCTTCCTAGGTACAAAGGGTCATTGCTGGTTCATGTTCAAATTGTTCCTCATGAGGATCCACAGGTACTTTTCTGCAAAGCAGACTGTGGACTCTGAGATCCTGATAACCCATTGCTCTATTCTTGAGGTCCCTCTAAATCACAGAGTAGTGATCTAATGCATCAGCCATTCCTCCAGGTTTTGGATTGTCTGCCATCTTGCTGAGGTTGCACCTCAGTCCTGTTATCCAGGTCATTAATGGAGGTGTTGAGCAGTATTGCCCACTGGGGTACTCCGCTAACACCTGGCCTACAGCTCGTCTTTGTGCCACTCTTCAAAAACCCTCTGGACCTAGAATTTCGGTCAGTTTTTAGTCCCCCTCACTGTTCACTTATCTAGCTTGTACTTCATCAGTTTGTCTATGAGGCTTTTATGAGAGATTGTTTTGAAAGCCTTGCTAAAGTCAAGGTAAACAACATCTGCTGCTCTCCCTTCTTCCACTGAGCTAGTTACTCCATTGCAGAAGGCTATTTTTGCTTAAGCATGATTTCCCCTTTGTAAATCCATGCTGACTACCACAGATCATCATCTTGACTTTAATATGTTTGCAAATGTTTTCCAGGATTATTTGCTCCATCGCCTTCCCAGGAATTGAGGAGAGGCCGACTGGGCTGTAATTTTCTGCATCCTCCTCCTTGCCCTCCTGAAAGACAGGAATGACACTTTCTTTCTTCCAGCTCTCTAGAACTTCCCCTGATCTTTACAACCTTTCAAACATAGTTGAAACTTGGGCCTTGGCTTCCTCTATCCTTCTGGAACCACTGGAAATGAATTTTGGATTACAGTGTTGGGTTTTATTTACTTACATATTTTTTTTTTTAACCAGTGCTAGGGTTTTCTTGTTAATCATCCACTAGAATAGCTTGACATTTTTTCCCCCCTCAGAAACAATGAAGAGAGTTATTAATGGTTAACTTTCACAACCAGCTTTTCCATTGACCATTTCAAGTATATTCCTTTCTCTCTGGTGGAGCATAATTGTTCAGAGAGTTCAGTTTTGTTTCTCTAACTTCTAACAAGATGTGGATGCCTCTTCTAACAATAAGGGATTAGAGTCATATCTCAGATTGGATCTCTGAAGGTTTTGCAGAAATATACCTGAAATTAATACATAAAAGCAAAAATGTAGGCTTTATTATGTAGTCCAGGTGGTAATAGTCATTTACCAAAGCCACATCAATCTTCTACTTTTGATACAATAAAACTGTCACCTAATTTTCAACTGAAGCAAAGGAACGTTTTCCGTTTGGAAGACTCTTCTGAGTGTCCTTCTCCATCCTTTTAAATACTTAAGGTAAATTTATATCACCAAATTTCATAATCTAAGTCTTAGAAAACATCATCTCCAGGGGAATCTTAGGTCAACTTGTGAGTATGTCTCATATACACACAGTTTGAAGTATCCGCTGGAGATTCCTGTCTTTGTCTACTGAGTAGAGGGATTCCAGGCAGCTAGTTTAGACCAACGACCAGCCTAAAGACATCTAAAATTAGATGAGAGGATTCAATTAGGCTATTCCAATAGCTTAAAGATGGGCATCACCACTGTCATGTTTCTTGAGTTACTTCTTTTCTGAAAACTTTTCAAATCATGAGTTGTTAACTGATTTACAAGTGACAGTACATTTTGCACTTGCAATTACTTACTAGTGTTTTTCAGAAGTATTAGTAACACTTCTAAAATTGCACTGAAAGCAGACTTTCTGCATATGCTGTCAGTGAAAACAAGAAGGCAATCTAGTGATTTATTTTTACCATTGTAGGTAGGTTTTGGAATGAATTTTTATTTATTTCACTTTGTCCAGGATTTTGAAGCTAATGAGTTAAGCAACTATAATCAGTGAGAGGAACTATAAACAACTCTTTAACATGTGCTGGAAGTACAAGTCATACCAGCATGGAGCCCAGTAAAAGTCCATACAATGATCCTTACCATTGCAGTGATTTAAGTCAGAATTAAAATCTCGTGATTTTGGGGTTATTTTTAAATATATAAAATGAGGCTCCCACATTCATGTCCAGATACATAATAAAGGAGTCAATTTTCAAAACTTCTGAGGATCTACTACCTTCCATGCCCACTTAAACTGCATATTATTCTTATGAGCAAGCACTCATTCTCCCCAACTTGTTATTGATAAATAGTTATCAATAGAAATGTTAGTTTTGTGTGTGGATTAAATAACCACCAATTTCAAAATAAAGTTAATAGCATTATAATAACCATTCCCACAACTTTTAAAATTACAGAATCATAGAATAGTTAGGGTTGGAAAGGACCTTAAGATCATCAAGTTCCAACCCTCACACTAGACTGTCTTGCCCAAGGCTCTGTCAAACCTGGCCTTTAACACTGCTGGGGTTGGAGCATTTACCACTTTTCTGGACAACCTGTTCCAGTGCCTCACCACCCTCACAGTAAAGAACTTTTTATCTAACTTGAATTTCCCCTGTTTAAGTTTAAACCCATTACCCCTTGTCCTGTCGCTACAGTCCTTGATGAAGAGTCCGTCTCCAGCATCCTTGTAGGTCCCCTTCAGATACTGGGACCTGCTATGAGGTCTCCACGCAACCTTCTCTTCTGCAGGCTGAACAGTCCCAACTTTCTCAGCCTGTCTTCATACAGGAGGTGATCCAACCCTTGATCATCCTCATTGCCCTCCTCTGGACTTGCTTCAACAGTTCCATGTCCTTTTTATGTTGTTTCTAGAAACTGAATAACAAAATATTAAAGATAGCAAGTGTTTCTTATGGGTCAAATTTGGTATTGATGGATTGAGAGCAGTGTTCCTAGTTTATGCAAGCTATGAAAAATATTATGTATTTTATGTAACAGTTTCCTGTGTCTGTGTGTATGGTGTGCTGTGGTGGGTGTTCAACTTTAATACATTAAATTATAGATCTTTAAGTGTGATACTAAAGCTAGAAATGAAAACAGTTCTGTTTTGGGGGTTTGGTTCTTTTACTTCTGCTTTAAATTTCATTAGCTTTTGCAGACTGATTACATCCTTCAAGTTTAAAATAACAAATATGAGTTCAAAATGATCACTTTGATTTGAAAGTTATATAGCACCATTCACATCTCCTGAATTCACAGTATTACATAACACTAGTAGGTTCACCTGATTCCTGAACCACTTGCAAATTGATTGCATTGAAAATTGAGGTTGATACACATTGTCTCATATCATGTGTTACCTTTCTAGATGATGAGACTAAATAATGACTTAAAGTAACAGAAGGAAGCTGTTGTGTGTCATCTTCAATGCTTTACTCAAGGCCCATGAATGCAGATCTTTAAAGAGAAATCTTCTGTTATTCCTAGTCCTGCATGTTTGTTGATAAACTTAGTTCTCACTTTTAACCTTGCCCGATGTGTTGCAGTCAGAAATGAGCTCCTTTATTTTATCATGCATTTCCAAAAAGTGGGAATAGATATTTAGAAAAATTTCTGGAGGCTGAAGAAGAATCTGTTCCATTAGCTTAAGGCAGGGTTTGCATATACTCTTGTCTGAAAGTAATGCACTGTATCTTAGAAAAATACAGGTTAAAATAAGGTGGAAATTATTTTTATTGGGTTTTTAATTATGGTCTGTGGTGCATCCAGAGATTAGGATTTGGAAAGGCTGCCGGTGGGAAAATGTTCTTACATTTCCAATTTTCAGGGAAGAGCATCTATTTAAAAGTATCAATAGTTACAGAAGTGTGAAGATTCCTTTGAAAGGCAAAGGGTTAATCTTATTTATTATGCAGGGAGAACTTGTTGGCATTATGTTCTTATGCTGCTTATGAACTGTTCATAAACATGTTTTCATAAATTTTAACTTTGCTAAGCATTTTTATTCTTCTTACTTGTAGAACATTCAAGGTATCTCTAAACATCCAGTTAGAATCACAAAGAAACAGTGCATAAAAGGTAAACTCTTTTTTTACTAACATGAAAAGGCAATTTTATCTAATTATTTTACTAAGCTATATTTTAAAGCAGAGTGGTAGCTCCAGCATTGAAGAGCAGAATAGATTATTAGTGCTTAGTTATACATTAGCATTTAAGCCAAGTACTTTTTGCTGACTGTTCCTGCAGAAAAAATTGCTGTTTCAGCACTGATCTCATACTCATGAACTTTGAGATATTTTTGTTCCGTTCAACTATGTCACTGTTCTTTTTCCAGATGAAATTACACATCATGACTCCATTAAATATCCTAGGGCTGATTTTGTGTGAATTCAGCTTGTAAGGCTTTGTCTGAGGTGGTATCAAGCTGAGTCATTTTAATCAACCTCACAAGTAAACACCAATAGTCAGATGTATTGTTTGTAATAACAGAAGTGGATTTAAGGTAGATGATTCAGAGAGAGTCACAGTAAAGTGTAGAAAAGCATGACCCAGGTGATAAAGAGAGAAACCCACAATAGTAGACTCAAATAAAAGAGAAAGATTTGCCAGCATAAACTCTTCTCGAACACCTACATCCATAGCTGGGAAATGATGCTCATTTTTTGCACTTGGTTCTCAGAGAGGGCACACTTGCCTTTTCGCTCCTATTCACACCATGCATTTAAAATAATACAGATCATAAAACAGAATTCTGTTGAAGACACTGTAAGATGTTGACAGCAGTTTTATTTTACCTAACTGATTCATTTTGTAAGTAAATTTTTGAAGTTGTTACCAAAAAATGTGTGAGCAGTGCCTGTGCAAACCTGAGCTGCTGTGAGTAATTATGGCATATCGACCTTTCTGGAAACAGTCCAATCAATGTAATATGTTATTCTCACACATGTATTTCATTCCTGTATCAAGGCACACTTAGGTTTTCCATTTTCATGCTGACCAGATTCATTCTGTTGTATTTCTAACCACCATTCCTTTTTACACCAAGACAAGTGGTACTTCCAGGATGCATTGTTTCTAATACCTTGTCAACGTACATTGTTGCTTTGTGATATTATTGTGCATTTCTGTAGTTAGAATTTGGATGCCAATGTCAACTGCAGTCCCCCTACCACCTGTAAATCAGAATTTGGTTATTAGCATATCACTGCAGCATATTCAAAGATACAAAAATCTGTTTTTTTAGCTCATCTCTAGACCCTTCCTTATCTGGATGCCTCCTTAGATGATCTGTGAATGATGTTAGTTTTGTAGATGTTTGTTAGCTAGTGTTTTGGGAAGGGTTTGGTTTTGAAAAAGGAGAAGTAAGCAGTACTGCAAGAATGACAGAGACAAAGATGTTGTACATGACTGATAGAGTAAAACAGTTGTGCTGCTGGCAGTTGGTGCTCTGCTAGGTTGCTTACATTGCTCTTTGTGTAGTTTTAGTTGTGGCCTTGGTATGTTGTTTACAACCTCCTATGGTTTGCAGCACAGTTTTTTTGAACTGGGGTTTGGGACTCATATGTCTATCCCCTTTCTAGGAAAAGAAGAGGAAATAATAACTTTTTCCCCAAGAACATTGTTTGTGTCAAAAAAAGGATACACGTTTTTAGCAGCAGGTAAGATAGTATGTATTATTACTCTCATACATATTAATGTCCGCAGTTCTGTCATCTCTTCTTTCTGTCTCCTTTGGATGCTATTACAGTTCACAAGGCTGTCACGTCTCTTACTATCAATGAATATTGTTATATGATGTATACTCCTTAGCGTGCTTCAGAAGTAGATGATATGTAAGCCTTGTCAGTAGAAACAAAGAGCTAATAAGATTAATTGACACCTGAAGATAACAAAGTGATCAGACACCTTGTGATCTTTAGCTGAAATTACTTCAGAATGAGCTTTTTACATGTTTTTTCTGAGCATGAGGAAATGACTGAACACCCTAGACTTGTATTTTAATTTGTGATAGTTTAGTTAAAATGCAGGTACAATTTTGTTTTAGAGCAAGAGATTTATTTTAACATCGCTTTCTAGATTTTTCCCATATTGAGTTAAGGATCCTTGCTGACTTATCATCTGAACCAGAACTTTTGAAACTGTTCCAAGTACCTGAAACCACCGATATCTTTTCCACATTGGCTTCTCAGTGGTAAGAAGAAATGTTGCATTATTTTAATAGCAATTAGGCAAAATTGTAAGAATAACCTGAACTCTGGTATTGCTGTGTAGTGATAATAAAAGACAGTGTTTTCCTACGGTATCTATTGTTAACACAGCAGGACTTATAAGTCCATACTGTCTTTCTAAGCCTTTTCTTCTCCATGGTGGCAATTACCATATGTTAAAATGGTGCAATCCAGCTGACCAGTATAAGCCTTGGGACTAAAGCTGGTACAATAATGTATTTTGAACAGGGCATGCTGATAACTTTCTCACTGTATTATTGTTAACCAATTCTTTTGAAAAATTGAGAGCAGTAGTCAAATATAAATTAAAAAATTTCCATCTGGAAAATTGCAGAAAAACTTTTCTCAGTAAAAGTATAAGAATTTTTGAAACCTGCTTGGTTATTCAGTAGAAGTAGTGGAATCAAATTATGTGTGCAAGAAATAGAGGGACTAGAGATCATGGGATTCCTTTGAACTCAGGGGGTTTAGTGCTTCCATCTTCTGATGGATGATGTGATACTTGGAAAAAGTGGCCCTTCAGTAATTAAAAGAAAATATTTCTTATCTCCATTCCCAGTTTATTATTGACTGATCTCTTCAGCTTGCAGATCAAAGGATTGACTATCAAAAAAGATGGGATATTAGTTGCTTAGTTGTTTGAAGGTATTTCTTATTACTGTTTATATAATGGCGATGTCTAAAAATCTTATTTGAGACTGGGACTCCCCTTGTGCTCAAAAGTACATGAGCATTCAGTAAGTGACAGGATAGATGTCAAGAAGCTTACAGTTTGAACAGATAAGTCAGAAAAAGACTGAATAAAATGCTATAGCATATAAGCAGATTGAACAGGATCCTGTCAGGTAAATGTCATGCAATTTTCATACTTTCGAATCATAGAATGGTTTGGGTTTGAAAGGACCTTAAGATCATCCAGTTCCAACCCCCTGCTATAGGCAGGGGCGCCTTCCACCAAACCATGTCACCCAAGGCCCTGTCCAGCCTGGCCTTGAGCACTGTCAGGGATGGAGCATTTACCACTTCCTTGGGCAACCAATTCCAGTGCCTCACCACCCTTAAGGTAAAGAACTTCTTCCTTATATCCAATCTAAACTTCCCCTGTTTAAGTTTAAATCCACTGTCCCTTGTCCTATCACTACAGTCCCTGATGAAGAGTCCCTCTCCAGCTGGAGATACTGGAAGGCTGCTCTGAGGTCTCCACTCAGCCTTCTCTTCTCCAGGCTGAATAACCCCAGCTTTCTCAGCCTGTCTTCATATGGGAGGTGCTCCAGCCCCCTTACCATCCTTGTGGCCTCCTCTAGACTTGCTAAAACAGTTCCATGACCTTCCTCTCTCTTCTAATCTTTTATCTCTGTTTTTTGTTGGAAGACTGTTAGCTGAAAATTAAAAGCAAAAATAGACATGATGAATTCATCAGTCCTGATCTAGTTCAGCTCCTATCCTACGGTTTCTAAATCCTTGCATGCATAGGCTTCCCAAGCACAGTATTTCCTACTCACTGCAGTATTTGCTAGTATACTGTGAAGTAGTACAAAGACACAAAATGGAGCTCAAATTATATTTATCCTGCTACCAACAACTGAATCAGTGCTTAGCGTATGTGTATTCTGGGAGAACACAATTCAAGGTCACAGACATCCCAATGGATATAGTCATGTAAAGATCACCTTTCTCTTCAGAGCCACTTAGAAGCTTCTTTTGGTATTATAATCAAGTCTTGGCTGTAACAGGATATCACTAGAACCTCGTGATGGAGTTAAATCCTTATTTTAGTTTGTAGGTATATTGCAAATGTATGCATGAAGATGAGTCAAATTTTGTCTCAACTCTGGGCAGGGCTCCAGAAACACCATTCTATTCAGCTACCTCACAGCTCTTGGCAGCCGTCAACCTCTTAGAGTTGCTACACAGTAACTTTAAATTTAATGAAATATTACAGGGAAATATTTTTATCAGACAGAAGTGTCATGGTGTGTCTACAAAATCATTGCATAATGATTCTGCTGACTCTTCTTTTAAGCTTCAGGAGATCTAATGCTTGGAAGTAACTTTCTATTAAATCTCTTATATGACTGTTACTAATTTCAGAAACACGAAGGAAGTGTTTAATCTCATCTAACCCTGGACATCTCTTATATACATGGAGAGATTCATTTGACCTGTTGTTGATGTTCCCTGTATAATAAGATTGATCGCACTTTAGAAGTGTTGACTTCTCACTATTGAGAACAAAGTAGGTGTCAGGCGGCCAACTCACGTGTAGACATCTGTATTTGTTCTGACAAATTTGACTGCTCCTGTTGAATGTGTGAACTCACCTTGGGCTTTGGAATTTTGTCCTTCATTTATTTACCACCAAAGAGAAGACATAAAATCAAAAGCTTCACAAATACTTTTCCATTGCAGATACTTCCCCAGCTCTCTTAGTTCACTATTGGTAAATAAAATCTTTAGGACAAATAGTTTGTTGACTTTATTGTAGTTGATTCCACCCCAAGTTATCAGAAGGGAGAGCAAAATAAACAACAAACCTTATTTCTCTGCTTGGTCCTGATTTTCTATGGGTCTTAATCCTTTAAGTGATGGACCAAGCGGTATACCAAATGTTTTATTCTGTTTGAAGGAATTGCATGATGTTGCAAATCTTTTCAACACATTTTGGTCAATTGGAAAATCTTGACAAAAAAGGGGTTTTCTCCAAGATGACTGAGAAAATAGATTAGTTTCTGAAGCTTCCTCAGAAGAAGAAAATTAAGCTTCCCATTGCATGTTAGTTGCTATCTTTTAGCAGGTTTTCTGCATCTAAAACTCCTTAGACAAATAAATATTAAGCCCTAATTCATAAAGAATTATTATTGGACAAAAATCTGAGCCACACCACAGAGTCCAGCCAAGCTCTATTTTAAAGGTTTGGAAAAACCTTTACAAGCCCTTAGAGCATTTGGCAACAAATACAGGTGGTGGCCAGTTTCTCTGAAGAGATTAGCTGTATAGGTTTTTGATTGAATTAAGATCTCTGATGTATAAAAGCTTTCCTTTCATAATTTAGTTAGGCATGCTCTACCATGACTCAGTCTGCCTCTGGGACCTTAAAGATGCATCTCTCTTGGAAAACTGTTGGATCCATGTATCTATTCAACATAATTCATGTGGAATCTTTACACAGGTTAACAGTGCTGTGTAGATATGCGTAAGTGTGTGTCCTAGGTTCAGCTGTAGCAGTCATTTTTCTCCTTCCTAGCAGGTGGTTCGGTGCTGTGTTTTGGCTTTAGTCTGAGAGCAACACTGATAACACACCAGTGTTCTAGTTGTTGCTAAGTGATGTTTACCCTGATCAAGGACTTTTCAGTCTCATGCTCTGCCAGTGAGGAGGGGCACAAGAAACTGGGAGGAAGCAGAGACAGGACACCTGACCCAAACTAGCCAAAGTGGTATTCCATACCACAGCACATCATGCCCAGTATAGAAACTAAGGTGGATTTACCTGGAAGACCCAGATCGCTGCTCAGGTCAGGCTGGGTATTGGTTAGTAGGTGGTGAGCAATTGTATTGTGCATCACTTGTGTTTATTGTTTTTTTTTTCCCCTTCCCTTTTTAGCTTTATATTCTCTCCACTTGTCAACCCAAACCATGTCTGTACATTACAGCAAAAGGCTGAATGGAGGTATTAACTTTCATTCTGAAATTCGGTGTCATGTGTAACACCATACCCAACCCAATAATTCTAGCTGAGGGGCAATCCTCTCTGCAAGACAGCTATAATCTGGTACTCCTGGGGCTATCTTACAGGCAGAGCTCATTTCAGTTGTCACTGGTCTGGGCTTCCTTGTACTATGCTCAAGTGTTTGCTGTAGGTGCTGTAGATATTTAAGTCTGTACTGTTTGACAGAACTGTCATGAAATTGCTATTCAGATAAAACTCTCAGAAGCTGGTGTTAACTGGTCACTTAATGTGAGTTTCTGAGTAATGTCATTCTTGGTCTTATATTTTATCTTTAAAGTGCTTTTTTTTTCACATGAAAATAAAGTTCATTGAATGTTTCTGTTAGCCACTCTGCAATAGATTTGCATTTATCATCTATCTTTGTCAGTGGAAAGCCAAAGCTCATCTGTGCCATCTACCTCCAACATATTTTCTGGTCATCTAGTGTAGTTACACTGGCTAAAACTTAAGATGGTATAAATACATTTTAATGCTTGCTTGTATATCCTTAGTACTATTCTTACTCTTATCCTGTCTGAACTGATCATAAGCCATTACCAACATTATCTTACAGCAAGTACTGTGTTGTGTCCTATGAAGAGTAAGCCTTAAAAGACAGGTCAACACCTGCTATTACAAGAACACCAGAAGTGCATTACATTAATGACCTAATTGCTGCTGAACACATAGAAAAATTTCAAGACTTACCTAAACATTTTAAAATTTGTGCTATAATGGATTCCAGTTACCTTCAAGACCACCTTGTGTAATATTTTCTTGATGTCCTGTGACAGTTGTAGTCCTTTGAAAGCCAAATCATCAGCCTGGTGCTGAAGTGATGAGAGCTGTTTTGGCAGCTGTCTGACCTGCCAAGGGACCTAACTGCCATAAGACATCCAATGACAAGTGATCTCAGACTGAAATTGCTCTCACTTCTATAATCTAGCTTTTACACAATAAATGAAAAAGAAGTAGTTAAGTAATTGTATTTAAAGTGCAGTTGATGGGCATATCTTAAAGCCAGTTCCAAAGACAGAGGCTGCAAAATAAGTCCACAGTCTTTTAGGTAGCTGCAATTTCTTTCTTAATTAGAGGTTCAGTGACAATCTCTTTCAAACTGTTCATTTGTCACCCTTCTCAGTAGGCTGTTGTTCCTCTGTCATAGTATATAATCATATTGACCATATTGGGTTAAAATCCAAGAAAAGTATCTTGATTTAACTAAGCACATAAGTACCTCATAAATACATAAATAAA